ATGCCGCCCAAATGTTCACGCAAAGAAAGAAGGTGTAACTTTTATTCTCGCTGTAGTATTGTTGTTGCCGCCGCCCGATGCCTAGAGCTGATCCGTGCTGGTTGCTGAGGAAATACTACAACTTTGCGCTGTGGATCGCCGGATCGGCTTTCACCGTGGACGAAGCAGAGTCCAGCCCGGGGTCGTCACATGTGGTTGCCGCAAGCCATTCTCAAGCCCACGGTGTGTGACGCTACTTTGTTTGGCCTTCCAAAAATGGACACGACTAGAAATCAGTGGTTAAGTTGTATTTGCAACACTGTTCCAGAACACTTCAACCCAAATATTCAGATGTGTGCAGCACATTTTATGGAGGACTGTTTCCTGATCCTCCAGTTCTGCATAGCCAACAGTGAGTCTGTGCACAAAGGTTGTTTCTATAAAGCATAGAAGAGAAACAATAATGTACAGTATGTGGAAAATAATGTGTTTTTTGAACCTTAAACCGCATAAACACATTTCATTACACCAAATACACAAAATAATGTTTTTTTTAGCAGCATCATATGACCCCTTTAAAGATTTTCACAGAATGATTTCAGCAAAATGGCGCCCCTTATCCACTGCATACTCGCCCCTTTAAACATTGGCTGCGTCCGAAAGCTGAAAAATGCTGCCTTCGGAGGATGCATTCCAAAGTAGGAAGGCATCAAGGCACGTCCTAATCCAATGTCAGCTTCACTTCCTGTGTCCTGAGACCTGAGATGCCTTCATCTGGTCGATTTTTGAAGGCAGCAGATGTATCTTCCCAAAATCCCAAAATCCCAAAATCCTGTGTGTTCCATTCCGTGATGGTCGAGCTAAAAACAATAAAGTAGGGTTTGGTGGTCAGTTTGTGTATTTCAGTGAAACAGTTTGTTTCAGTGTTTGTTTCTGAACAACTTTTTGCACTTTTGATGTTATTTCTAGTGAGAAATTAGTATTTTAGTAATGAAATATTCACTTAGTTATCACCAAAGCTCGTTCTGTTTTGTTATAGGGCTAGATCATTAAACCGTTAGGCTGCCTCAGAAGCCCGTCTGAAATCAGTTTCGTGAGGTGCCTTCGTGTGCAAACACCGCCTGCAAAATCATTACCCGGTAAGACAGCGAGGCAGCAAGTCAGCAGCCTAAGATTTCGAACGCAGCCACTGTCAACCAAAAATGTATACACAACATTTTTCTGTGGATCTTTATAAAAAAGTACTATTAATAAAAAGTAAGCTAGTTAAAAAGTAGTAGTACACTCTTAAGAATAAAGGTGCTTCACGATGCCATAGAAGAACCTTTTTGTCTAAATGGGTCCATAAAGAACCTTTAACATCTGAAGAACCTTTCTGTTTCACAAAAGGTTCTTTGTGGCAAAAGAAGGTTCTTTAGATTATAAAAAGGTAAGAAAGAGATGGTTCTTTAAAGAACCTATGACTGACTGGTTCTTTGTGGAACCAAAATTGGTTCTTCTATGGCATCGCTGTGAAGAACCATTTAAGCACCTTTATTTTTAAGAGTGTAGTATCAGGTCGCAGTGTGTTTTTTGTTTTGTTTTTTAAATCGAGGAAGACCACTGCTTCCAAAAGAAAACCTTCCTAATGTTTCAGCTGTTAAAATTGCTTTAATTCTTTTTAATCCTGGTTTTGAATATAGGCCTTCTAAATTGATTTCATCCAGGCTATTTTCAGGCTATTCAAAGCAGTGTTTAAGCGAGGCAAAACTGCAGTAAAGCAGGCTCACCATGGGGCTGCATTTCTGTTCTTTGACAGAGCTGTAGCTTTTTATACTGCAAATAAAATGATTTCTAGGCTATTGATTTAAGTGTTTCCTTTAATAATAGCCATTATAAGTCAACCATGTTGAGTTGGTTAAGCGTTCAGATCATGGCAAAAAATAAAACAACCGGTTCTGAAACACTACTTGGGCCTATGCTTCTGGTGTGCTACCACTATACAGGCCCGCTCTGCCTACGCATGTGGGCATTGTGACTATGGGCGGCAAAATGAATACATCCAGCTTACACACATGTATACATGTGCATACAAATGTATGCAGCAGGCCTCAACATGTAGAATATCATGTCTGAAGGACTTGGGGGTTCTATGTGTATATAGACGTTTGTCTTGTGACATGAACAATAAGTTTGTCAGTTCCTTTGTGATGGTCTTAAACAATCTGTATTCTGTCCTGTCCCGTTCATACAGTGCCAAACCTCTGAGAAAGCATCCTTTGACCTGTTTCCACACTCTTTCATCTATGGACAATGGACAATCTATGGAAAATGGATATTATCATCCTCATTTCAGCAATCTCATTCTGACATTCAATTTGAACGCAAAGGGTGGCAAACCAGTAAAGCCTTTTGACCTTTCAGACACATTGTTTGGAATTGCTGTTTTTACATTTAGCCAAACACACTGGGAGGGGTTCAGTGTGCTCCATGAGACGAGTGGAATTTGCTGCTCAGATTCTTAGTTTAACAATAGAGACAGGTGCAATAGAAGGCATCATCAGGAGTGCGACCCACCCAATGACTTGAGAAAACTGAAATAAGTTCATCATAGCTTAACCTCCATCCAGTTCTGGATTATTATATGAACTCCCTCTACTGCTCAGCTGTCTAGAATAGGATCCTTATAAACCAAATTCTGTCAGGACCACTATCATCAAAATGATAGATACTTAGCATAAAGTTTGGTTTGGCGGTATGGTTCTTTTCTGGGCAAAAACCTCCCTGCCCATCCATGCAGTCTGTCATGAATGAGCAGGGAGAGCAGCAATAATAACCCCCCCTCCCAGGGTTAACAGAACAGAACAAGGCAGATATCATTAATGTACTTAATGATATTTAAGTGTAACACTTTATTCAAGATAAAGGAGTCTGATTAGCCAGGAATATCAGAAAGCCAAGTCCTGACTGTGGCGAAAGGAGGAGCTGGGGATGGAGGAGGGTAATTTGCTCCTGAGCAAGCTGAAAAGCTGCTGAATCTGAAAAGCTGCTGAATAATACTGAATAGAGCTTATATAGGAATTCCGCAATAGGTGTCGTATTCCTATAGGTAGATGTGATCAGCTGAGAATCAGCTGATGCAAGCTTGACTCACGTGACCTGCTAGAACTAACGCTAACGCTTAATAAATACAAAAACTCAAACGAGTTATATGAGAAAAGACCACTGTTTCAGATATTGTACATAACATGGAATGTGAGAACTTGCAGTTTCATGAGAAAAGAAATTAAAACATCATGTTTGAAGAGTGGATTTAAGAAACTGTTTAAGATGAAAGTAGACCACAGTCAAAAGGATAATAAAATATACATTTGCATAACTGAACATTTATTACCAGTGGTTTGAAAATTTGAATAGTCTACACTTCAACAATGAAAAGATACTCAAGCCATCATTGGACAATACTCAGACTGTCACATTGGCCGAACCCTTTTGAGGGCGCCTCAAATATTCTATACTTAAGAGACTTCAATATGTATTTCAAGTGCCTCAAATCCAACCTCAAAACAGGTTTCATTGTCCAGAAAATTGTTCTTTTCACTGAGAAAAGATTCTCTAAAGCAGGGGTGTCAAACTCAGTTCCTGGAGGGCTGCAGCCCTGCAGAGTTTAGTTCCAACCCCACATAGCATGTAGTTTTCAAATAAGCCCGAAAGACCTCATTAGCTGGATCAGGTGCATTTAATTAGGGTTGGAGCTAAACTAAAGCTGTGTCTCATTTAGAAGTCTGAGGCATTTTAAAGATC